TAATTTTAAGGATTCAGTAATAAAAGATTTATGCAAAACATATTCAGCGAATCATTGGGAAGCTGTACAAGAGCTTTTACAGTCACTTGGTTTTACAGGTATAGATGATAAATGTATTCTCTCTGACAATCAGGTAAAAGTTGCATTTGAGATATCTTGTGAAAAATTTATAAAAATTCAAAATCAATCTTTATTACTCTTTGATTTTAGGTCTTGTGCAAAAGAAATACCAGATTTTAAATCAGCTATAAAGGTAATCAACGCAATTGTTGATAATTGATGTGGTTATATCATAAAAGATGAATGAAAATTGATAAAATCTAAAGAAAAAAGAATTTGAAAATATTCATATCAAATTAATTGAAAGTCATATAATAGTCACAGTTTTGATAATCAAGAAGAAGTAATGGCTAGGAAGTTAGATAATTCTGAATATTACCCTATAGCTCTAGTTCTTCCATCATATAAGTCAAAGATAAGTGATAAGATTCAGGATCTTTTTGAATATGTTGAGCATAAAATTTCTGACTCATCTAGTAGTATGATTGATGAAAAAGATTTATCTTTAGAAATGCCAGCCCACAATTAATCTACTAGACTTTCCCAAAATAGATACCATGTCGATACTACTATTTGTGAAGCCAGTACAATTGAGAAAAAAATACCTGAATCCTTAACTTCTCTATTTTCAGAATTTCTCATTAAAAATAAATCTGATATAGATATGCTTATCTTCCATTTACAACAAAAATTCCAAATGTCTAAAGAAAGATTAGAACAATGATGAACCAAGATTACTTTTAAATTGTGGGATAATCAAAATTACTGGAAAAAAGAGTGCGAGAGTATAAGTGAGGCAGATTTCTTGGATTACAAATAGAAATTTGAGACTAAATTGGGTATTCCTACTACTCCATACAAAAAAGAGTTGAAAAAGAAATCTTTGGCACTCATTAAATATGCATAATTGTTGTATATATCTTTCAAGGTGATGTAATCTAGTTAAGTAATAATTTCTGGAGAAAAGAGATTGCTATATTCAGCTAGTCATTCATCTCGGGTAAGCATTTCTTACAATAAGTATAAGAAAAAATTCAAATAAAAAATTAATGCTTTCGATACCTAGACAATATAAAGAGATTTTTGTGTTGCGTAATTTTTATCAGACTCAAACTTTATATATCATCAAATGAATATTGAAAAAGTAATAAGCAAAAGTAGGCTCGAAGAGTCATTGCTCCGCAATAGAAAAAAATTGAGCTTTTATGTATCATTAGGTAGATATCAGCAGAGCTAGCATGAAGTGCTAAAAAGTGATATGCAAAGATTATCAAAAAGTGATATACAAAGGTTACAAAAAATCGAGCTTTTACGTATCATTAGGTAGATATCAGCAGAGCTAGCATGAAGTATCAAAAAAGTGATATGTAAAGATTATTAAAATATAATGCATATGCATATATAATAGTGCAATCTAATTTTTTAACATAAAGCTAAGTAATCGAAGATATCAACTATACGAACAAGGTTTCTAAAGCTGAAAAATATAGTAAACTTTTAGTGATACGTAAAGGCAGAATATTATAAGGAAAGAGATAAGATAAATTTTTGCTTTTACGTATTATCAAATAGAGATAATAATTCAGCACTACGTGTCTCATTATCAGATATGATAACAATTCAGCACTACGTGCCTCATTATCAGATGCTTTAGTATATTATCAGATATGTTAACAATTCAGTATTATGTGCCTCATCCTTGATCAATACTCAAGTGCATTATAATAGTTAGCAATTCAGCATTACGTGCCTCATTCTTGATCAATACTTGAGTGCATTATAATAGTTAGCAATTCAGCACTATGTGTCTCATTCTCAGATAATATTTGAATGAATTATAACAGTTAGCAATTTGGCACTATGTGCCTTATTCTTAGATGATATTTGAATGAATTATAACAGTTAGTAATTCAGCACTACATGTCTCATTATCAGATGCTTTAGTATATTACCAGATATGTTAACGATCCAGTACTACGTGCCTCAAACCTGGCTGTCATTGAGGAATTAACCAGAAAGCTAGAGCACTACGTGCTCAGTTTAGGCATAGCCCTTATACTGGATCCACAAATGACAACATGCAACTGAATACATCATCAGCTCAGTTGGATGACACTGACAATAGTGTCATATTTCTGTTATCAAAAATGTGTCATAAAAATTATATCATGACACTGATGATGATGTCATATTTTTGTCGTCAAAAATATATCATAAAAATTATATCATGACACTGACAATAGTGTCATATTTCTGTTGTTACAACACTGATGACAGTGTTGCATTTCTGTCATCACAATACATACCTGAGTGAGAATAATCTAGACTAAGTGAAAATAACATAATTATGTTATTTCCACTCATATAATTTATATAAATATATCATGTATCTTAGATAAATTCCATAGTTCTTAGATTCAATAGCTTTCAGAACCTCAAGAATAATAAATAATAATTAAAAACATGTAATAAATTAATGATAAATTCACCTAATAATAAAATTATACTTTATTATTATTAAATTATGATCTTATAATGAAATTACATATTTATTACATAAATTCCTTTAAATTAAATACTATTATTAAAAATCCCAGGTCTCATTCTAGCTGACCACGTCATGAACACACTGTTACCTCCCTTTAGATTTGTTTATAATCATAGTTTAATGCTTGATGCATTATATAGATTTGATTATATTATACTCTTCCATCTGTCATTCTTAATAAACTTTATTATAATTACTCTGATCAAATAACTTATTATAACATTATTAAGCACTCACCAATTCTTTCAAGAACTTATATAAAATGGTAACAGTATGAAAAACACATGCTAATTAATCTATATAATCTAATTTGATTGATATTAATAATAAAATATATATAATATTAAAATGAGCAAGCACTTTTTGTAATTATAATATCAATCAAAAATAATTTTAAACTTTGAAAATTGAGTAACAATTACTTATATAAATATAATATATATCTTAATTTAAAAAAATAATCTTTTACTAATTTAATAAATTTGACAATTAGTCTTTTGATTATAATTTTCTTTTGGCAAAATCTTTTTAGAAGTAAATTATATTATAAGTCTTGAGTTAAAGATTTTCAGTCAAGTATTAATTATTTTTTTTCTTTCTTATTTGTATTCTTTTATTTTAAAAGATCTCTTGTTTATAACAAGTAATATCTTCTATTTAATATAATTAAACTCTCATTACTATTCTGTGAAGTTAGTTAATATTATCTCAAAATCTAATAAAGAGAAGATATTCTTATTAAAAGTTAATTAATAAAAGAAAATTACTTAATAATAAATTATTTGAATTAAAAGAGTTTTTGAACTCATTTTAGCTGTTCAATAAAATGAACACTTTGTTATCTACTTTTAGTAAATTAATCTCTTCCAACTTTAAATACTTAAAATATGTAAAACTCTTTAGTTAAATATAATAACTTTTATATCTAATCAAAATATATGAAAAACATGTGATCTATATCTAAAAGATTATAAAATCAACTAAAATAATAATATTATATAAAATTAATATAATAATCTTCTATATGATAATTAAACTTGTTTATAATATTAAATTCTATAAGATAATAAAAAATTTTGTTGTATTTTAAAATATAAATAATCATTTTACAGATTTTAAAAGAAAAAATTAATTTTTTAAAATTTTTTGTAAATTATTAATAAAAAATTAGTTTATAATATTAAGTTTTAACATGTAATTTTAATGATAAAATATTATTTTTCAAGATTTGAATATTAATTTATAAATTATATAAATTCTTTTTTTGAATTTATACAAAAATAAATTTATATAATAAATTGCTAATAAAATCATGTTTTATTTTTATTGATTAAAATTAATAATAATTATTATATATAAACAATATTTAATTATATTTAAAAATTAAATATATTTTTAATGAAAAATCATATTTTTATTAGTAATTTATTATATAAATTTATTATTTGTATAAATTCAAAAAAAAGAATTTATATGCTTTATTATAATTTATGAATTAATATTCAAATCTTGAAAAATAATAATTTTTTATTAATAATCTACAAAAAATTAATTTTTTTAAAATACAACAAAATTTTTTATTATCTTATAGAATTAATATTATAAACAAGTTTAATTATCATATAGAAGATTATTATATTAACTTTACATAGTAAAATACTCAAAAAATTATTATTAATGATTAATGAGTATTTTCACACTTTTTATCAGTTAATATGTTTAAAATCTTTAAAAAAAATAGTTAATTCTAATAGAATACATGCTAAGGAGCCTTGTTTTATTATAAAACTTTTTTTAATTTTATATGTTCAAAAAAAAGTTAAAGCATATTTTTTACATTCTTGATAAAAATGGCAAAAAAAACGCATCACCACTTTGGCGAATCGACATGGATTATAGACGAACTGACATAACAATATGTGTCTGTTTATTTACCATTTGTCGGATTGCATGTGAGTGAAAATCAGGTGATCAATGATTAGCGATTTAGCGATGCAAGTGGTGCGTTATTTATGCGGGCCACTGTATGTGCCTCAAATCACAATTTGTCCCCCCAGTACTCCTAGCCATGGCGAAAAAATGTACTGTCCATTAAAATATCCGATTAATATTAGATACCAAGTATTAGGGTTAGTGTTAGAGCTGAGATCAAGATTGTATATAAAATTGTCTTCCTGACATTTTTTGATAGTGCGCCAAGCTAGATTTCGCATTTTTTCTCTTCTTGTGTTTTGTCGGGTTGATCAAAAATTTGCTACATTCCTATTGGTTGCGCAGAATTTTTGCGCATTATTATTGGTTGCTAGGGTACTAAATTCGCATTGAATTACGATAAGGATTCAAGTATCGCGTATATATAGATTTACGCGTTTACTATCAACTCTTACACATAATGGATAAATATGAAGAGGCATTACCTAGTGTGTTTTTTCGACCCTCAGAACCAAGTTTTTTGCCTAGGGACTCTCTTACGAGTCAAGGAGATTCTTCATATGCGGGCGATGACACTTTTCTAACGGACAGTTGGGATGAAGGTGACAAAGATATAACTGAGCAAGATAAATGGAATTTGGTAAGACCTCTCTACTATTTTTCTAAAAGGTAACATATATCTTATAGTAACAAATGATTGAAGAAAAACATGAATTTTACTAGATAGACGAATGGCTAAAAAAATTTTACAAAAATAAACTGATACCACCGTTCGAGCGAAACTCGGCAACTGCTTCTGCGTTATATGAGTTGGCTGTTTTTAATATAAAGCAGGATGCGATGGCCGAAATCACGCTTAAAAATCTTAAAGTTCATGCTATGGAATATAGTGCTGAGGGTATTTTTTGTTATTACATGAATAATTCTATAGATGGACACGTTGGTTTATTCATTTATTTTTTGAGCATAGCTAAACGAATCAATGATATTCTTGAGACTATGAGTGTCCCAAAAGAAGAATTATCAAAGAATGGCAGTGTTGCATTGAATACATTGAGTTCTCTTGCTATCACTTTAGGATTGGGTGATGTGGAAAGTAGCAGGTAAATTATTAATTATATTATTATTATTATTACTACTATACATAATTTATAAATCTATTTTTCAATCTTTAGTTTTATTCAAGCATTGGCACAACTAAACATTAACACGGCGAGAGCTGAGCGCAAACATAAAAATGCCACGCGCGCTGCTTCAGCTCTAGAAACACGTATAAAAGAGGCAAATATTCAGAAAATAAAACTTTCTAGGTATTTACATATTCTCATGTGTACACGGCGCTTATTCTATTTGATTACTTTGTTATAAAGCATCAATTTCTTTATCATGAGATTAGACTTTTATCAAACCTTCGAGACAATTGGGACTCGATGGAAGAACAAAAGTTGCGAGAATGGAGAAAGAATACAGATACATTGACACAAAAAGGATGTGAATACCAAGATCGATTATCACGTTTAGAGGTATGTTCCATCTATAATACCTTTTTGGCCCAATATTTTTGTACCATTAAACTGATCCATGTTGATAGAAACAATACACATCAATGAATATCGAAGAAGGTGGTTTACGTCTAGAAAAACTCAAGCAACAACAAGAACGTGTGATAGCAATGGAAAAAGAAGTGAAAATAAAAAGCCAAAAATTGAGAAATTATCAAGATATGCCACCGGTAAGTAAGGAAGTGCGTGCATCGAAATTCTTTTATTTTCATGAGTTAATTTTTTTTTTACTTCCGATCCTAGGATATCAAATTAGCAACTCTAAAATTGCATGAGGCCAAAGAAAAACTGGTTTGTGTCGGTTGAACTCTTTTGACTTTTTATTTAAACTTTACACTAAAAATTTGCTTATTACGAAAAAAAAGAACGAGTTAAAAATCAATAGGGAAGAATTACTTAGCAACATGGCAGAAAATGTCTGGTGATTTAGAATAAATGCTCATCCTCTTCTTTACATTGGTTCAAGGTTACAATCAAAATTATGGATTGTTCGTTTATTTTTCATTACTTTACTTGATACAAGTGGATCGACTGCAAGGCTTCAATATTTTCCTCTGTCATTTCCAATTCATTCGGTAGCACGTCAAGCTTCATCTCTTTGACCCATTTTTTGTAATCAATTTTGCATGACGCGTCGGCAAGCTGTTCTTCGAGACTAGGTATGGTGATTAAAAGTGTTGAAGGAGCGGTGTTGTCTCGAATAAAAGACCAAAGGCGTTGTTGAATAGGAAGAGCATGAAAGAACTGAAAGACATTATCTTTAATGGATAATGTGTCAACAATAGAGAGAGCAATCAATATACACCAGTAAGATGGAGTATACATACGCATAATTATTATATTGGAAGAATGCACAAGTTGAGCTTGGTTCAATATGTCATCCTGGATTACCTATGAAAATTGAAGAATTCGAATTCAGAAGGAATTGAAGTGTGACCGTAAAAAATTTTTTATATATCAACATTTAATAAATACTTCTACGCGATCATTCATGTCGTATTTTGAAATGATTTCTTTTTGAAGGTTGGCAAAAAATGGATTCATTTCAATGCCTATTATTTTCTTTGCATGACTATAAAAATATCCCTGAAAAACTCGAGAATTATATCGATGCAGCTTAGCAAAAAATTATAGATGATGAGGAATATTGATAATTACAAGATACAAAACACCACCCAGTCGTGATCCAATATCCAGCAACACTTTATCATCCGTTTTACCTTTCAATAACGTCTCAAAGATAAAATGTAATAGAAAGACCGAGGCTGAGTGAGTTATAAATTCTTTTTGATGCGCAAAATGCAAAATATTAGTTTAATTAAAATTACGATATCATAAAGAGAAAAAAAAGATAACTCACTTAATTGACGTGTATTTCGAGATTTGCATTGAACGCAATAAGCGCTCGGCAATTTCCCTTCATCGCATAATCGATCAACATCATCTTCGTCGTATAGAAAAGAATCGACATGGATTGTTGTGTCTGATGTATAGTTTTCAAACTAGCGTGACAAATAGATGAATTATTTTCTAATTTGAATTATTGTTACTGTTATTATCATCACCATTATTATTACTTCATGTGTATTATCAGGATAAACAATATTTTCATTCGGTGCTTCCGCGGTGATTGGAACTGCTTCGCGCAAATCTTGGATTATATTATCGATTTTATTTTTGATAATTTTATTCTTGTTCTCCGAGTTTATTGATCCTGATGTCTTCAATTCTAAATTTTTTGCATCTTAAAAACGAATTTTTTTTTTATTAATTTGATGAATAACTAGAAAACTTTACATTAATTTATTACTGTAAAATTAAACATACGTATAGCTGCCTTAACAAATACTTTAAATGATTCAAGTTGTCGCTCATTGTTCAGATCTTTTAGAATTTCTAGAAAATCGCGTTTTGATTTTTCTAACAGCATCTCCGAGTTCATTTTCAACGTTTTCAATATACTACAAAATTAATCATTACAAATTTTTAGGCTATCCATCATTTGGCTATTTATTGATCCTTTAAAATCGTATATGATTATCATCTGTATTTTGAAAAATTAGTCACAACCTAATTATTCAGATCATTTATAGAAAATACAAAATTTTCAACAGTTGGAACTACAATGGCAATAAAAAAAATGCATCAGCAAAAAAAAATTATTAATAAAACAGTAAAAAAATTATTGATTTTATACAGTGACTAACAAAATTATGGAATTATGAATGTGATTTTATTAATAAAATATAGTAAAAATTAAAATTTTTGTCTTGTATAAAAGTTTTTAATTTTATTAATAAATATAAAATATTAAATATTTTTATATCAAAACAAAGACTATAAGTTATAGTTTAACATATTTTTTTTCTGGATTTTATATTTTATTAATAAAATTATATATATGATTTTATAATTTTGCTAGTTATTGTATATTTATATATTTATCATATGAAGAATTATTTTGTTTTGACAAAATTTTAAAAATTCTTATAAATATTATATAAATTACAAATATTAGATCTATTTTTCTGTTTTACTAATAGTTTAATTAACTTTATAACTTTAATAAATCTTTATAATTAGTTAATAATACAATTATAATATAATTTAAGTATTTTAGATATATAAAAGTTTGTATATTTATTTAACAAAAAAAATTTAATAATTAAATAAGAGCTATAAAAATATGATTTTATTTTTCAACTTGAATTAATACATGAAAAAATGTACTAATTTTGTAAAGAGAGAAATATATTAAATTTTAAATAATAAACAAGCAATTTAAAATAATATATTTAAAAAAATAAAAAAAATTCATATGATTGAACAGAAATTAATATGAAAAATAATAGTGAGATTATAAAAAGATAATAATTTAAATATTGTTATAATATAAATATTTAATTATTATTTTATTAATTAATTTATATTAAATATTAGCTAAATAAAATTTTATTTGTTAATATTTTTAAATAGTAAAATAAATATAGTGATTATAACAAAAGTAACAAAATAATTATTATATATACTTATTTTAAATAATTATTTCATAATAAATAATTACTTTAAATAATTTTTTCAAATAATTATTTTTTATTTATTAATTACTTAGCTTAAAAATATAACAAGAAGAAATTCATTATTTATTTTCTTTTTTTTAATTTATTTTATTAATTAGAACAACTAGTATTTTTATATAATCTTTCATTTTAATGCAAAATTATTAAATTTTGTTTTATAATTTCTTATTTAATTATAAAGTTATAATTCTTATAATTAATTTCTTATTTTAATTACAAAATTATAGTTATATAATTGAATTAATAAATAAATAATTAATATTTTACTTATTTATAAATTAAATTTAAAAGAACACAATTATCTTTGAATATTTTTGATTTTATTTTAGCTAATTACAAAATAAATATACTATTAAAAATAAATTTCTAAGCTAATTTAGAGAAATATAACTATAATTTAAACTAGTTTTAGTTATATTTTTAAACTAATTTTGGCTATATTTCTAAATTATATTATTAATTTTAGAATTTATCTTTATATATTACTATACTATTATGATCAGGCTCTTGGTGAGTATTATTGTAATATAAGTATTCAACCAATGTCTAATAATAATAATTTTATGATTATTCAATTTTGTCATAATCAGTGTACTTCAGGATTATTATACAGTATATTTTCTTCTATCAGTTGAATAAACTCTCATTATTATTAATAGATATTATATCTACTTAATATAAAACAGTTTTATAGCAATACAGTACCAATATTCTATAGCAACTTGATAATTATTTAATAATATACAATAAATGTAAGTAATTAATATAAGATTATTATTTATTTATTTTTAAAATTAATTAATATACAAATTTCATTAACAATAAATATATTAACTAGTTAAATTTTTATAGTAATTAATTGATATCACTAATTAATATTATATTTAATTTAATTATAGTAAAGATAATATATATGATAAATATAATAAGTATAATATAGATAATAGATAGAGTATTTTAGTTAAATTTAATAAATATAATAAAGATAGTATTCATAAAATATTGAAAATATTTGAAATATTTTTAAAGTATTAAGAAATTAAGAAATTTTATTTGTAACAATACATTTTTTATTAATTATAAAATTAATTAATTAATGTGAATAAAATTAAAAGAGAAAAAATTAAACAAAAACAAAAATAATAAGAAAAATATATCTAAAATTTTATATTAATTTCTATAAAAGTTATATAGTTTGAAAAAAATAAAATATAAAAAAATAAATACAGTTAAATCTTTGTATAATTACACTTATTTATAGTTATATTTCTTTATAGTCATTCTATTTTGTTTTTCTATTTATATATAAATATAGTAAAAAAAATCTCTTTATAGTTATATTTCCTCTATAGTTACCAAAGTTTGCTTTCCTAAAGATATTGATTATAAAGAGATTTGACTATAATATCTTAATTAATATATTAGTTAAAATATTAACTAAGATACTAATTAAGATATTAATTAACTAAAATACTAACTTTTTATATTAGTATAAATATGTTTTAAAGCTAAGCAAATAACAAAAATTCTTTTATTTTGTTTTTTATAAAAAAGAATTATGATATTTTTAAGTAAAAAATTTCAAATAATTTAAATATAACAAAAATATTAATTCAATAATTCAATAATAATATTTTGATTAGCTTAATATAATTAAGTTACTTGTATACAAGTTTTAAAATATATAATTAAGAGAAAAAGATGAAATATTTAAGTATTAAAAATATTTGTTTTATTATATTATTATTATTCCAATTCTTTTAATAGTATTTGTATAACAAAAGATCTTTAATAGGTTTCTTCTTATAGTTATAAGAGAAAATAATAAATTAAGTTAAGTTTATTATTAAGAAATTTATACATTATAATTATGATAAGTTCAAGATAGTTTTATTAACAAAACTTTTTTATTACTATACTTTTCACTATTGCTATCTCAATTGGTACTCTGCATATAAATTATATAAGTATATAATATAAAAATAATAATATTATTAGATTATTACTAAATTATTCCAAATTTATAATCAAAACTATATCAAAATCAAAGAATAATTATAAGATATTTAATAAGTGAATTTGTTATTAAGAACTTGTTAAGCTTATTAAATTTGTTAAAGTTAAGCTATTTTTTTTTTGTTATCAAATGAAGTATTACTTATATATAAAATTGATTATAACAAAAATCTCTAAATATCTGTAATACTAAACTAATAAAAATTCTATTATTCTAAAGATTAATGGTTCAAAATATCAACAATTCGATATTTCTAAAGATTAACTATTAAAAATATTGAAAATTCAATATATTTGTTATATTAATATACAATATACAAATAAATAATAAGCCCAAAATAAATAACCAATAAAATTATAAAGAAATATTATCCAATAAAATATATTATATAAAGTATTCAATAAGAATAAATTAATTAATTGTTCAATAAGATATAAAAAATAAAATATACTAGAACATTATTTATTCTCGAATTCCAACATGTTAAGTCAAGACTTAATTACAATTTGTATTTATATATGTTTATAAATACTAATATAATATTATATTTTAAAAATTATTAATTTCATAATTTGTAACAAATTATAAAATTATGAAAATCATGCAAATACTTCTTTAATTGCATCATATATTATTAATTATATTTATCTATTTTTCTATTTTTTATATCTTCATTTTTTTATTTGTATTATTCTTATTTTTTTATTTTTATTTTTTTATTTTTTATATTATTAACTTATTTTGTTATTATCTATTTATTTATTTTTCTACTTTTTTATTTTTTTACTTATATACTTTTTATTTATTTATTTATTTATTTATTTATTTATTTTGATAAATATATTTTAGTCAATTATAAATTTTTGCAATATATTTATTTATTTTTCTATTTTTCATATTTAGTAAATTGGAATTCTATTTTTAGTTAATATATTTATCTTTTATATTATTTTCTTGTTTTTAATTGTAACAATACATTACCTATCTTTAATAAATTAGTAATCTCTTTCACTTCAAAGTTATTTTATATAACTCTTCCACCTGATTTAGTCTTACATGTTATTCACATGACAAAACTAAAAACCATATAAAATGGTAACAATATTATTTATTTTTAAATAAATATTTTATGATATTATGATACCATACGCTCTATTTATTAATAACATGAGGATAAAAAAGATAACTCTAAACTCTTGATATAATCCCTAATTTTCAACTTGTTATTAAAAATGGGTGATATTCCGATATTTTATTATTTTAGTTTTTAATTATAAATTAGAATAAATGTACAGTAAAACCTCTCTAGGTGCACCCTCGGGACCATTGTAAAGTGTGCACTTAGAGATGGTGTGCATTTATAGCGTAAAATATATGTCTTATAACTTGGAACCAAGCCATACCATGCATTTAGAGAGAATTAATATAGTGAGTGCATGAGATTAACAACCGCATTTTAATTGGCTAATTAGTTAAGAAAGAAAACCTATCGCTATTTTATCTTTTGTTAAAAATGTTAATAACTAACGCTAATCGAAAGTATACTGGTTTATATCGATATTCAACGTTAATACATGGTGAAGATCAACACTAAAAAATTTGATAGTATGTGTTTAGATAAATTCTACCTTTGTGATACCATAAAGTCTCATTATATCGAGAGTAAAATTCACTAATTTGTTTATTGTAGATCGTTATATCGAAACATTTATATAAATGGCAGAAATGGCAGAGGAAAATTCTCTAATTTGTGAAAGACATGCCTCTAAGCTACAAGTTCTCGGGGCATTATTTGCAAATCAAAATTTCCAAAATAAATTAGAGGAACATTTGCAAGCTATTAAACACTCAAAGCAAAGAAATTCCGAAATGCAGGTACACTATTACTGGACTAAATAAAGATGCACTGCAAAACAAATTTACCGAATGACGAATGAATTATGCATTAAATATGTATGTAGAATCGAATCAGTGAGCTTTGTCAACAAGACGAAAAAACATTATACCTTCCAACTCCAGAAAAGAAACAAGAAAACCATTTTGGTCCTCCGTTTTTCGTTGATAGAAATGGCTCAGTAAGTGATTCTTCATGGTCATTCGTGGGGGGAGGAAGAGAGAGAGAGGAGAAATTTTCGCGGTTGTAAAATGATTAATTAATAATTGATCTTGGCGAATTCTGTTTCTTCCTTAGATTCCACTAGACAACGAAGACACAATAAAGAACCTAAAAAATCCGCCACCGTTTCCTAAATCACGTCGATGTGGGTTTTGACACGCTCTCTTGCGAAATTTATAATGTAATATGATCTTACGCGTATTTTTTCCAATTCTTATAGGGTCACACGCTGAACGCAATACGCTGAGAACAGCAATCAAAGAACGTAATATGAGATTAATAGCGGAAAAAAATATGGCAGAGTAAATAAAAAATTTTAATATAATCAATCATTCTACAATTTTATTAAATTATCAAGTTTTCTTTTCTCCATATACACGCAGAGGTCGTCCTTTCGATCTTGTCACTAAATATAAAGATTCAATCATACTAAGAGAATCAAAGGATCTAGCTGATGACTTTCCCGAATTAGCAAAAAAATACGTATGTATAAATATAATATGCTTGAAAAATTTATCATTTTATATGCTAATTATTTTCCCGTGACAATCTCTTGAAACTAAAAAAGTTACCAAATCGAACTCCCGCCGAATGCTTCATTCAGTGGATCAATAACGACCATCCGCTCATAAATAAAGAATCTTGGTCACAAGAAGAATCGAAAAAGTTACGAATGTTAGTAAAGGGACAAAAATCTGTCAATTGGCAGCAGATTGCTCTCGAACTCGGGGTAAATTATTGCTTTTGATGTTCTATTTTTTTCGTTATAAATATTTTTTATTTATTTTTTTGGATCTGTAATTCTAGGATACAAGAAACGCCATCTCGTGTTTCAAAGAATGGAAGAGACAAAGCATTCCTCGACGGTAAATGCATAATAAATATCACGAGCTGGACTCTATAGTGTTATTTTAGCTAAATTTTCCTCTATATTTGCCAAAAAAAAATAGAAAATGGGCAAAAGAGGAAGATCAAAAGCTTATTCGAGCTGTGAGTATGTACGGTGAAGGTAATTGGCAACAAGGTAAAGTATTATTTAATTCAAATTTTGTATTACTAAATTTAGAAAATTTGGGGTTTTAATTCATTACGAATAACGGCTTTTCGTGGTTACAGTGGCACATTGTTTCGATAATCGTACGGGACAACAGTGTCTTCATCGATGGACGAAAACCTTGAGTCCTATTCGGAAAACCGGACGATGGAGTGCAAAAGAAGATGAGGTAATATATACATATTGTATATTTGTTTAGAGATTCGAGAGATGTAAAATATATTATTAAATATCTAATAATCCAAAAATAATAGCTTCTCAAACAAGCAGTCTTGCTCCATGGACCTAAAAATTGGGTAAAGCTGCAACAATATGTACCAGGACGCACCGATGTCCAATGCAGGGAACGGTGGAAAAATGTACTAGATAGTTCTATAAAAAAGGATAAATGGCATCCAGAGGTAATTAAATTAAAGCATCTGATTTATTTTTTCTTCAAGAAAGAACTTATAATAGATTATAATATAAATGAAAAAAACTTAGGAAGACGAAAAACTTTCGCAATTTGTAAACGAGTTTGGCAAAAACCAGTGGTCCAGAATTTCAAAGGAACTGAATAATGGGAGAACTGATAATCAGGTAATAATATATTTTAAACGTAATAACAACGATAATATTAATCTTGACAATTAATTTAACTAATGGTACAGTGTCGGCGAAGATATCTGCAATTGAATAAAAAAACGGTCGAAACAAAGAAATGAAAAAACAACAATTACTAACAATCACCTCAAACTCAACCTCCTCCTCCTTCATCGTCTACGACACACTTCTAATTAGATACTCTCGATATAATGAATTTTTTACTAACTACTTCGTTATGGTCTGAAATACGAGTTGATCTCTTCGTTTATGACAAAAATGCTTCTTGTATATGTGAGAGTCAGCGTTGTCACTTTGCTATGTCCAGTAACTGGACTGGGCCATATTTGACTTCTAAAATTAAAGTCCAGTGGCGCAGTATTGGAATATGTCCAGTATGGTCCAATTGACAACACTGATGAGTGTGCACATATTTCGTTTATTTTTTTGCCAAGACTCCTTTTTGCATAACATATACATGTGGCTTGCTTATTTCTATTATTGTGATTATTATTGTTAGTTAAAGGTGATTCTGTTTCTATCTAAAAGGATATTTTTTCAATTTCAAGGAGTGCAACAGCTAATCGTCATCATCCATATTAATCTCATCAGGGTTTGAGGGAATCTGAGGACCCGATTCATCTTCGTTTAAGTGAGACGTAGACGACGAAGACCTAACATCCAAATAAATAAGATTGAGATAAGATAAAGTCTGACCTCCCTATAATCACGCCCTCGGGATATGAAAAACTGAATATAAAGAGGTTGTGACTATACGGAGGTCAAATTTCTTATGCTTCATTATAAGTTGGGAACTGAAAAAATGTGACTATTGATTTTGTAATTATATGGGAAGTGACTATATAAAGGCTCGACTGTATACAAAAAAGTTTCCTTTTTTGGATGAAAATTTCTATATACAGTCAGACCCCGATAATATCAGCACCCTGTTGTTAGCAACATTGGTTGCAGAACAGATTTCAAGATATAACTCTAAACCCCGCAGTTATCCACCCTCGTATATCAACAAAATAGCCCGGTCTCGTGATGTTGATAACGAGGGCGACTGTACGAGAATTATAACTTACGAAGTTTGTTTTAATGCTCCTTGCTCGATAGTCGCTGATATTTGAGTAGCAGCTGGAGGTTGTACTTGTCGAGTTGCCAGAATTTGAGCCGATATGAAATTGACCTAATAAAAAATGAAATTCACATAAATATATGTTTTAAGCTAGTATTATCAAACTAAAAATAATCAAAAATACCTCAGTATTATATTGAGCCTGCACACTACGTTTTATACGTAACATTTCTTTAAATGTATCCTCGTTTCCATGCTTTACTTCAAAATCATGCCAAATCGCCCAGAACGAAGGCACTGTCTAAAATGAAAATCACAATAATAAAATAATAGATTAATTGTGCATAGCGAGAGAAAGACGGATTTATGCATGAAAATATTACTTACTCTTGGATCACAAAACTGCGAAGCATGCGCATATAAAGATCTCGCACGATCAATTTCACCTAACTTTCGTTCCAATTCTGCATATTTCAAACACATATCTTTAGCCTCTTTATCGGGAAGCACCTCGATTGCACGCTCATAGATTTCACGCGTGTAAGTTACGCCGAAATTCGCACTCGCTTTAGCAATATAGAAATTGAACATCTGACAAATAGATAAATTTTGAATATAGACGTATTGTTAGTAACAACAAACAATGAGTAATAAAAATGCAAACCTCAAACCGGTCTTCATCGGCCACAGCCTTTGTAGCACGATCGAAAATTCGCATAGCGTGTCTTGCTAGTCCGAAGTCTTCTTCAAGCTTTCCATACATAAGGTACAGTGGTTTCGCATGTTTGGGAGGACACTTTTCAAGAGCTTGTTCGAAAAGGTCTCTGGCACGCTCTAGTTTTGTACCTCCCTAAATTAGTAAATTTCATACGAAATTAATTAAGAGGATAATTTTAAAAAATTTGAAAGTATATTGCACTCACATATCGATTTATAAATTTGGTCAAATAAATATTCCAAATTTCAAATGCAATTGGATAATTGAATAGCTCGACACCACGTTCGTATACCTAATTACAAAATAAATTCCGAAATAAAATAAAACAAGATGTAGAAGAGCAAGAAATCGATGAATTAGCAATGAATTTTGATTAAATCAACCGAAAAACTATAAAAAGAAGTAATTAACTCACTTTGAAGCTTTCTTCGAAATATTTATTCTCTTCTAAAAAGTTGGCATAATTGATGATAATTTGCGGTGTAGCAATTTTCAGTTCTAGTATCCGATCATATACAGCCCTTGTTGACTCTACTGTGCCAATGCTTTCCTCGAGATCAACAAAGAATGACCATAGTTTGAGAGACTTGAAGACACGCGATTGAACGGGTATATTCTGTTTATATAATTAAACATCCGGTTTAATTATCTTTCATTTATTTGTTTGAAGAGATTGATAGTTTATGTGTAATCTTTACCTCATCCCGATAATCGACATTTGGATTTGATGGAGGAACTGTAGCCCTACTCATAACTTCTATGGCACGATCGTAATTTCTGTCCCAAAAATTAATAAGTTGAATAAATATTCTTATTTTAAATGTACAAGTAAAAATACATACTCGTGTCGTAATTCCATTTCTGCATATTCACACCATAGCGTGGCCAAATCATTTACACTCTTGAAATTGACTTTGGTCCCCTTCTCGAATATCGTTCGAGCAGATTCTAAATTATTTCCATCATCATAAAACTTTGCAAAATGCACCCACAATTCATGAAACTTGCCACTTGCTTTTTTAGGATTGATTGTGAGAATCGCCTTTGTATATGTTTCAATAACCTTTTTTTTTTGCCAAGAAAATTATTAGATTGATCGTCTAAAAAACAAGTATTTTTTTTTATAGAAAAAAAGCAAATATAGAATAAATTTTACTTTTTCAGCATTGTCTTTCCATAACTCGACTCTCTTTTCCCATTCATGAACATTATTCGGATTTTGCCGCAATAATACATCGTTCACCAAAAAAGGACGACGATTCATTAATTGTTCAAATCGTACGAGACGTAATTCTAAATCTAAATCTTCTTCTGGGTCTTCCTTTCCCTGTTCTGCTCGTTCGGCGGCTTCCTCCATTTTATGAGTGATAACAGTTTCTTCGAATTCCGCATATGCGTCAAATATTTGAGTGAAATCACGAACTGTCATTACTGTGGCGATGCCTTCTTCGAAAACATCTCTTGCCTGCAAAATTATATATTATAGAAAAATACTTAATTCCATATTTTTCTATATACATTAAAACTGATTTTTAAAATTTCTGCCACATAAAATCCGTTATAACGTGACTAGTAATTTGGTCTAACGGATTTTAAATGTAATTTCCTTGTGTGTCCCAACCACTTAGTTATAACGAGGGTCGACTATATAGTAGAAATATCGTAAATTATATATACCTTTTCAAGATGAGTCAACTTTATCCAATAACTGGCCAAAGAATTCCACAATTTGCCAACTTGATCGGTGAACCTTTGGATCCCACTTCTTATAATTGGTTCAACTTTCAAGCTTTTAATCTCTTCAGGATGCTTACACACCAAATCACATAATTCCATCCACAATTGGTAATTGGATTTTCCATGCATTGATTTGAATCGATCGTTATTTACCACTTGTGCTAGACGTTTTGCCACTTCATCGTAGCGACTTAACGAAAGTAAAAGATCAATATATTCTTCAACATGGTCTGGTTCCAACTAGACGAATGAAATATCTTCTGTAAGCATCATGTAAAAAAATATCAACCAGATGATTATATTGGAAAACACACATCATCAAGTTCATGTATATCAAATGACAATCACCTTTAGGTATCGCCAATACAATCGAATTGCAGTTTCTCCCCCAACTTCACGCGCAAATTTCAAATAAATTTCCCATATTTTAGGATGTTGAGTGATTGGTAAAGCTTTAAGTGCACGATCAAAAGTACGTCGAGTCTTCGTGATTCGGCATTGCGACATTAAAAAAGTACAATAACCTATCCATATACATGGCATCTAGAAGCAAATTGAGCAATTATTATCATCAGATAAACGAAATAATAATATAATGACGACGATGTTTTACCTTGTGTAACAGCACCAACGATCGTTCAAAGCAATTATTAACCTTGAGATATTCTTTTTCATACCGAACAGGATTCAACCCTTCAACGTGTTTTAACCGCAAGTCTAGATATTTCTTCCATAGTTTATAAGAACCGGGTAGTTCTTTTAAAGCACGTTCATATATCCATATTTGCTGAGATATTAGTTGTTCGGACTTATGATCTATATAACGAAGCCATGACTTTAATGTATATGGATTTCGTAATATTTCTTCTTCAAATGGGATATCAATTTCTTCCTGTTTTTAAAAAGTAATTCATATGATAAATTAGAAGTGAGTCTCGTTTAATGCTGATAATGATTTCCTAAAAGCGAAATATATTAATTTCTATTGAAAGCATACAATTTGATAAATTCCTTTTGATTCTTCGGTTATGTTTACTTCTACTTCCATTGGTTCCCCAGAAATAAAATTTTTGGCTTTGCAGATATGTTTCTATTGAGCATGTAAATTATTGTTGCGGCTTATGCTGAAATCTGGCTGATGCTGAAATTGACCAATGAAATTAGAGAATGAAAATCGATTAGCCAATAGGATGCGTTAATTTCAGCATCAGCCAGGTTTCAGCTTTAGCTGTCACAATATTATTGAGAAGATACAATTTGAAATATGACAATTTTATATAAAATTATCATATTTCAAATTATATCTTCTCAATAATTTACATATTAACTTGTTTGGAAATTTTGCTTA